CGCAAAAATAGCCCTTTCTCAAATTTACGTTTTTACGCATAAAAATGCAAACGTAAAAGCATAAACGTAAACGCAAAAAATCCAGCCTGATTGGGGCTTCTGCCAAGCTTAAAAGTGGCACTGTAAATTGCAGCCTTCTCTCTTCCAAAAATGCATATAATGGACATTCTGTATGCAGGGTTCGCGTCTGTACTCGTTTCTGCAATTAAGCCAGATATGTGCGTGCTGTCTATCTGCACAATGTTGATGGCAGGAGTGGCATTCAGTTGGTACGAAGCACAGAAATCCTGTTAAAGCTCTCAATCTTCTGGCAGAGAACTGAACTGCCACTGTATAGCATGGTGCTTGTGGAAATACTCGTGCTACAAAGCTTCTTACTATGCAAAAGAACGGATGGAAAGTACAGAGATGGTCGTGTAGTGAATCTTAGGCATGGTGGCGATTGCAGTTGCTGGAATTCTTTGCTTCCACTATTTTCTCGAAGATGGGTGAAAAATCATTGCATTTCTTTGCATATCTCCAAAAGTTGACAAACATCGTCAATTTTCTTTACGTCTAATGTAATCCCTTGCGGCTCATATAAGATGGCAAATCGCCAACAAGGAACCGATCGCCAATATTAGCATTTCCGTCTCTTGCTTGAAGCCAAACTTCATTCCAGGAACAACGGTGACTAGTCGTAACTCAGGATGCTGGATCAGAGTCGTCCTTGCCTGCAAGCATCTCCCATCTCTGTCTTGACCGAGACAGTCCATGCGCATCGGCCGCAAAGACTGGACACCGAACAGGCATAACCTGTGCGCAACAGACATGGCGGCGTGCAGCAAAAATTGCTGCGATGGTAAAAGAAGGTGTCATGCTATGGAGACCGTATTATGGGAAAGGCACTGGGAACGCGGAACAGTTCCACGCGGAACAGCTCAGAGACGTCTGGGCGCGAAACATGAAAATCGTGCTGTATGTACCAAAACCTGTATCATTGCTTCTCACCGATCGAACCTTGATCGCAGAACGGGATTCAACACGAGGTTGCCAGTATGCTGCAGCCAGCGTTAATACTAGCCATAGTAGTGGCGTTGACCTCCGCGTTGCAGCTTGTCTGTGTTTGGCCGGTTCTAGAGCTTCACAACGACAACATCCCGAGGCTCATGGTACCCCTGCATTCTGACTTTTGTCGCCAGGATCTGTCGACACAGCCATCTACCCATGCCACCCACGCGAGCTGCATGTGGGTCATAGTCAGCGAATGATCATAGTCGCATGTCGCCTTTTCGGACAGGTGCGCCGTTGCGAGTGATACTGCGACAGACCGCGGCAGCCGTTTTGACGACGCCACTCAGAAAAGCCACCACAATGCCCCTCAATGCTCTCCAGAGCCAGGCAGGGACCGACTTCATGAGCTGGTACTACAGGTTCTGCAGCAATGGTGGCCTCGTCAGTGCACAACGTGTCAAATGTCAAATTACATGCATGCAGGGCTAAGGTCCCCCTTTTCCTCACACAATTTGGGAGCTACAGGGGGGGCCCTGGGACAGCACAGAAAGGGTTCACCGTTCGTCGCATCGAGTGTCAAAATCTAGTGTCCATTGAGTTAGCAAAGTGTCCAAACTTCAGGTGCCAACCCAGCCACCAAGCAGAATTTCTAAGGTGAAGGTCGCAAAGGTGCACAATGTGTCTTTTGATATATAGGAACCGCGGATGCAAATGCAGCCGTCATCATGGTCGTACAAAAGCACGTGCGTCTTTTAAATCGCTCATCATGATGTTTGGCAAACAGCGATTGACTTATGCACAATGCACTTGATGTGATCAAGGATATCGCGTGCATCGCATTAATTCGAAACCGGACGCTTTCTCGTCCTCAGGATACATATCCAGGCAGGAAATTTCCTGGGACGCCGCAGGTGGGGTTTGCGATGTCGCAGGGAGGGGCTCGAAGGAAGTGGTAGCGGTGGTGCGTCAGCAGCGTCGGCAGGATTGTCGCAAGGGGGGGTGGTGGTCTTCTGGGCCATCGGCGGATGTCGGCAGGGTTCCCAGTAACCCATCTACGCCGCTGGCAACGGGGCTGCGGCGTCTCAGGCCCCTGCAACATGGGGTTTCGGAGGCGCCGCAGAAGGTCGGGTTTCTGGTGTTTGCGTCAGTCCCACTTTAATATTCTAGCTGTGCTTAAGGTGCGTGCGCAGCACAAAATTGGGAAAGTTTTTGCGTCGGTTGGATGGGTTGTCGAAGTGCATTTCCGCCCAGTGTAATCAGCTCGAAAGTCGGCCTGCAAGCCCATCTGGGGCCTTTGCGCCACTATCCACACCGCGTTACTGCCAAATGCCCTCCCGCAAATAAAATTCTGGACAAAATACACTGTTTTGAAAATCATGTACCGTGTAAATCGTGTAAATTGATTGAAAGCCGTTCAAAATTCGTGTTAAATTGTGCATTGTTCATGTATTTATCGTATAAATGTGGGACCAAACCGTGCAACAACGATTGAGTGAGCGTACTGGACATGTTATTGAGTATCCTGTACTACATGATTTTTATATGTTTTGACACGGTTTGCACCAGTTCTACACGGTCACTAGGGAAAAAAAGGACCAAATAACACGTGTTCAAACGTGAACAAAGTTTACGGGTTTGTGTTATTTTCGAGTTTTCAGCGTGCAGAGCACTGACGAAATGCATACCTATGTGCTCGCTGAACGTGTTAATTGGTCCTTTTTCTGCTAGTGGGTTCGAAACCCTGTAGTTTGCTCATTTTTTTTACTTGTCTCCCTGCCCACCTAGTATAGCAAGATTCCCTTGATCCATTGCGCTTACCCGCTCCGCAGCATCCTTGGATCACGACCACTCGAGCAATGCAACTGCCGGCTCGGCCTGGAATAACAAACGAGCACAAGCAAGTACTGATGTTATCTGCATGTGACCGTCAATGTGTTGTTGTGCGCGTGAGCTCCCCGCAGAAATCCATGTCAACTTCCATCCCTAGCAGGGATTGGCAGGGATTCCCTAACCTCTGCCGTTTCTCCCTAGTGCACATTCCCCGTCGTTTCATCTGCCGATCGTCAAGTCGTGGCCCCTAGGGCGGGCAGCTGCAAGGCACAATGACCAATGGCCGCCCCTCATCACCGCCAAGAATGTGGCGCCAATCGCCAAAGTCCTCCCCGCTGGACAGCTGGCGGAAAATGTGCACTGCCCGCCACCCTATCTCGTGGAATCGCGCGAGACTCGCCATGCCTGACACGTGCTCGGCTGGGCGCATCCAAAAGATGTGCGCTGGGTCTCACTCGCGCACAGTGAAGGTCGTTCCAGCGGCTTCTTAGCTTGTTATAATTTCCGTGCATTTGCGTAATATCTGAGTGTCAAGGCCCAGGAACTCTTCCCCTTGGCGTCCGTTGGGGGTTACAGGCGTTAAAATGCAAATGGGGGTCATCCATAAATAAGCGTGCCAAAATCGTCATTGTGCCATTCCGGAGAGGCCCAATTGACCGTGACGGTGACCGTCATCTCCGGGGCGTAACGCCATCCTTTCACATGTGTGCGTTGACCTCCCCGCCATTGGCCCGCACAGGAGCCAGTCGCCGCGACGCATAAGGCGCCAGGTGCTGCAGGCAGAGGCGAGGCGGCCCGGCCCGCCCAGGTGGACTGAAACCTCTCTCGCACAGACTGCCGCATTCCACCGCTGCAGGTTGGTCCCACGGCTGCGCCACAGCGCACTTGCCGGTCAGCGCCTGCGGCTGGCGCCCCGTGTGTTTCTCTGGCTTGTTGCCGGTGACCATACGCGCTGTCGGGTTGGTCCTCGCACCGCGCCTCGGAGGCCAGGAGTGTCGGAGGCTCCAGGATGCGCAGCACCATCGATCACAGGCAGGGATCCGCATCTGGATGCCATCTCCGGATGGGATGGATCCGCTGGGGAAACGCCTGGGTGAAGAACACACCTTGTGGTGCATGCGCGCGCGGGGGAAGTGGCCCTGCCTTGCCGCACTGTTACCCTCGTGGATCGAGATGGAGTGGCTCGTTCCGGATGGCGATGTGCACAGGTCTCTTTGTGGCAGTGGCAGATCAGTGAATCTGGATGCAACGGAGCGAGGTGTTGAATGGTGTGCCACTTTATCAGAGTCCATCGCAGCAACGAGAGGGTGCGGCCGCTCGGTGGCGACGGTGCCTGGAGACAACTGAAGGAGCGAAGATGGGCACGGCCGTGCCGAAGAGCGGTCCTTGTCTGGGCGACGCAGCACGGCTGAGGCCATTGGCCTGTTGACGCGCAAGGAGGTGCTAATCGGGCACACGCGCTTGGACCTAGATAGCAAGGGCGATGTACCCAAGCTGAGAATGTCTGGGTGTGGATCTTGAAGCCCAGGTAGTTGCGCACGAGGATTTCTGTCTGGACAATGGGTCAAAGTCCGCGGATTTCCATGTCCTGACTGGACGACCAGGGACGGGCCCCATTGAATGAAGGCTAATCGTCAGCTATTCACAAGTGCGCGCGACCACTGCATTCCCTGTTGCAATGCTGTCGTTCCAGTCTCCATCGCAGTTGTTTCAGAGGTCTCTGAGATTTTTGCGCTCGGGGTACCCAACATTGACGGATCGGTCCGGTAACAACGGTCATTTGGCGCAAATGGTTATTTGGGTCATACAGCTATATGCAGGTTGGAATCTTGGCGACAAGGGCCTGCTTCTTCGCGCCAGCACTGGATTGCTCCAGATCGCAGAATTGTTCGGCGTACTGATTGTGGACAGGTGCGATGCTCAAGGATGCCGACCAGCACAAGCTGCCAACTCTATTGCATGTCTTTTGGTTTGCGTGTCTACACATTTGGTGGGCTTCATGACTTCAGCGAGGTATGGATGCCTGCAGTTCTGCTCTAGCCACCTGATTTGGCTGCAGTGTCTGTTAAAGGAAATCCAGATTTGGACACTTGGAGAACTGGCAGTCAGATTCCACTCACCCAACGTACCGGCAATTCTACTGTTAAAATGCTTTTGAGCAAAATTCGTTGCAAAGAATTGATCACAGATGGCTGGAGTGCATACAATCAATGAAAGCATGGCAAGATGTTGCATGAAATTACTGGACAAGAAATGGAGGCAGCCACTGTCACAAACGAGTCAACAAGCCAACATCCCCCCTGCAGGATTGTGTTTGAGATTTGCTTGCTTGTGTGCGACCAAACTGCAAGGATGGCAGGCTGTCTGGGCAGCAAGACAGCTACCATTGATGTGCATGTGCATTGGTGCATCCGATTGCTAATATGTTCAATACAAACGATACGACTGTGCACATTGAATACTGTGAATTGCATGGGAGTGATCACTGTCAATGTTTTGATGTGAGGCATTTGCCTGTGCAGCTGCAGTGAGCACCTGTCACCATTCATGACTGATAATGCTAAATGGGTGATGAAACACTTGCACGATGAGGAAGCCAACGTCCCGCGCTTGATGCCATGGTCATGGCCACACATGTGTGGCAGCATCCAGAGCTGCAATGGCTTGCTGCCAGTGTATGGTGTTGGGCAGGCTGGATGTGCCCGTTCCTGTGTGGACCAGGATATTGGGGCTGTTTGTCCCTGGCTTCTGCCCTGCCAAGATGCTGTTTCAGCAGGTGCATGTGTCCACAAGTACGCATGCAGCCAGTGTGCATAGACCTGGCGATAACCGACGAGGGTGCAAACCATATTCTGGTAGAAAATGGTAGTAACAGCATGCTGGCATATTGACACCACGCCAGTTCGCCGTCGTTAAGAGGAGGGTTGCAAGCTTCACCCATAATCAACGCTTGCTTTTATATTGTTTGCCTTTTTTGCCAGTTTTCATGGAACCTCAGCCTTGGAGGTGCTTGGTCGCATCTCACACACAAATGCCCGAGGATTTTTGTTGATAGTCAATGCGACGGGGTTGGTGTCGACCATGGATGGAGACGCGCTTTCATGGCACCCATTTGCAAGTGCGCTTTGTTGCTCTAAAACGTGCACGAAATCGCAGCTAACCAAACACTGTGCATTTGCAGACGTCCTTTTGTGGGTGCTACGCTTGATTCAGAAGCAGCTCCAGATTACACACGACACAAATCCTCACCATTGGCCCGATATCCGCGTGTTGTTCAGTTGTTCTTGCACGCCTTGTGCACACTTTCGATCGGGAGGCCCCATGAGTGTTCATGCATGCCTTTGAATCCAGTTGCTTCTGTAATTCTCCTCAAAATCCGCTGGACATCTGGCATCACCGGTCAGGATTACGCATCTTGTGACATTGCGGGCTGGCTTGCTTTTCTGCCTGGGATTCCTCTCTTTGTTGGATGCAAGTCAACAAGAGGCCAATCGCCGGAGATCAAGGGTGTGAAGTTGCCACCAGGCGCCGTCGTTCCCCACGATGTCTACTCTTGAGAAATGTTGATCTTGGTCGGCAAACGTGGTTCATGCTCGAATGCCATCTCAAACTGCGGACTGTGCCTGCGTGTAACGCCAATCCCGTCCTCCCGGCCTCTCCTGTGACTGGAATGCATCCACTGCAGGCCTCGGAAGTTCTGGGGCCAAATGCCTCTACAGTAAGTGTGTGAACGCCGATGTTTTTGATGACACCAATCACGCAGACCTTGAGCTGTGCTGATCACACACTGGCGAAATCGCACAGGGAGACCACCGTCGATCCTCCGCCAGGAACAGAGCACAATTCCCCACATGACAGGGCCGCTGCTGCGCTATGTTGGTGGGGGACTATGTCGGAGGCAGGCATTGCCAGGTCTTTGGAGACACAGCTGAGGGAACGAGTTACAGCGAGATCGCGGATAAGCATCACCCTTTTTAGCCGCACCGCCATCTGTCAATGGTGGACCAGTCACTGCCCCATCATCGTTTGGCGCCCGTCCGTCAGAGCGCGTAGCTGACTGAAATCATTGCGCGTTCTATCCGCAGCTGTTGGTGCTTTGTACCACAGTAGTTGGGCAGCGGGCTCGAAGCCTTGTGATCAACCAAGGGCTCGTCCACTGGTGCCGTGTCACCGCAAGTGTCGCCCACGCAAGTGCTCGGCGCCGAGCAAGACGCGGGGAGGAGAAGCACTTCGGCTGGAGCCAGCCCAAGGGGTGGCGGCCTCGGGAGGCGGAGGTGGGGATGCGCGCGTTGGGCATGATGATGGATGGATCAGCTTGGGCGCGGCACTGCGGAATGGCCCGGGGGGTGACCCTTATTTGAGTCGGCGCTCGTCACTCCAACCGGTCTCCGGGCCCCGTGGGTGGAAGCCGTCTTCGAGGGTGATCGAAGTGAGGCGCGCTGCAGGGGACGGCGATGACGCAAGGGTCAGTGCGGCTCGCTTTTTGGGCGGTGGCAGAGCGGCGAGAGGGGCGTTGCCCCCTGCGCGGGGTGTTTGCCGTCTCTCAAAACGACATCACTTTTTGCTGGAGCGGGCTGCCGGAATTCTCGCCAACACCCCCGCTAATTGCTAGGGCTCTCTCTTTGGGCGGCGACGACGGCAGGGGCAGTGCGTGCGATCACGAGAGAGCCGTGCAGGGGAGCATTGACTCCGCCTTTCGCGGCCAACACAGGAGGAAGGGTGGTACCTTCACCACGCCGTGCGCCCCTTCTCTCTAATTTGCTGATTGGAAGCTGGCGTCGCTCCGGCGGCAGCTACGGCGGCCGCCTTTGCCTTTGTGGTGTTTAGACTCCGTTGCTCGCCCGCATGCGCCATTTGAGGCGCGGAGTGGCAGGAGGGAGACCTCAGATCGAGCCTGAAGCCAACGGTGTAGCGGCGGAGCAAGGCGCAGGAGCGGCGCCTTGGAGGCAGCTCAGCTAAGAGCATGTGTGTGTTGAATTCGAAACGCTGTTTCGAAGCAGCCTTGCAGTGCGCGCCATGTGCGAAACATCCGCCAACTCAGCAACGGCCTCACGTTTTCAGGAAGTCCCCCGCTGCTGTCACCCATGCCCCCACAGGTGTTCAGCTTGATCTCCAACCTGCAAGTTGGACAGCTGTGGGAAGAGCTGACCGGGTGGGCGTGCACCAGGTGTTGGTTGAACGAGCCAAACAACGTCCTCGCTCGAGATCCAGCGACCGAGAAGGGGTCCTTGTAGACTGGGGGGCCTCGCAAAGAAGCGAGCGAGAGACGAGAGCGGGTGGTGCAAGGGGTTGGGGTGTGATAGACAGGGTGCTTCGACGCGGCTGCCCTTGCCGAGCGGCTTTGTACGCGGTCACATACAGGGTTTGAACATCGGGCGGGATCCCACCAGAATCTGTTGACTATCGGCACGCTGTGTTCCCGGGCGTTACACAAGGTAGGCGAGAACGCTCGCGCAACAGTGTACTATTTGCCTGCGGCGATGCGGACAGTCGCGCATTGGCCACTCGAGTGCCAGGCATTTCAGCTCTGGCGAAAGATTTGAGCTGGCCACTTGGCGCAGCCATTAATGTACCATGTTCATTGAACTGTTGGGCTGCACCTGATTACCTGCCAGGTTTCGAGAAAGAGATCGCAGTGGTGCGTGTTCGGTCCTGTGGCTGACGTCATGTCGAGGTCATGCCACAGCTGCCTGCCGGGCTACCTGACATTCCTGGCCCTCGGTTCTTCTTCCAAGTATGCCGAAACCGTGCCAAATTGAAGCGTGCAGCCGAGATTTGAGTCGAACCTATACTCTTCAGGCCAAGAGGCAGACAGAATGCTTTTCGAGATAATGATGCTTTCTTGGTTGTGTTCTGCACTACCTGCCATTTGGCGTCACTCACAGCGTGGCCAACAAATGACAGAAAAGCAAATGCGCCTGCCATATAGAAGCTGTAATGTTGGAATATGTGTTCAATTGTCTTCTGCGACTTGCTGAAATTGTCAATGGGTAGCAGTGCACTCCAGTCGGTGTGAGGTGTGACAAATGGGCAATATATTGCTGTGCAGCAGATATCTCCCTCCTGCGCTCCCTCATTGCTGGAAAAGCCCAACTAGCCGTGTCCACCTGAATTCCCAAACTCAACCTATCTGTGTATTAAGTTTCATGGCTAGCAACGACAGCTGTGTCGAGTGCAGGGAGTCACGTCCGTCCTGCTGCTCGTTGGCGCCCGAATTCTGCATTGCAAGTCATTATCTTGGTGGTGCGGAATTTCAAATTGCAAAACAACACAGGGGACATCCGCGTCGAGAATGAGGCACGGCGGGCGAGGTTGCCCAATCTAAGCTTCCACGGCGCTCTCAGCACAAACGTTTGCTTCCTTGGACGTCAAGACAGGTCGTGCACTGCCTGTAATCTTGTTCCGTGGGTGATACTGGTAGAAGAAGACGCAGGCCGTAGCCCCAAGTGTATCCTGCATATACGAAACAGGTCATTTCACACAGTTTTGCCAATACGCCAACTGGCTTTTGTCCTGTGGATGAATCCTGTCGTAACGAGGGTAACGACTTGGAGGAGACAGGCCACGCACAGAAGTACCAAAAAATGTCAACGTATAGTTTCCGCTTACGTTCACGCCATATCCCAGCTGCAAAGTTGTGTGGTTTGTGGTATATTGTCCAATTTGTCACCCTCACTCCAGTAGTGCGCTCACAAGCTCATTGGCATCTTCGGCATGTGTTGCACACCCTTTGTGCAATCTTTGTGCCTTACAGCTATTGCAGGGAATGTTGAGACGACGAGGTACATAGACCAAATAGGCACGTCCTTGCAACCCGGGACTCAAGAGGTGCCAAAAGCCAGGTTGCCCGCTCTGCAGTGTGCCCGTTGCAGCGTCGCCGAGAAATTCACCGTGCGAACAAGGGCCCTTTGCGTGAAGCGTAAAGGCATTCCCACGGTATTGAACCCTGCTTTACATTGCCAATGCCTGGTCCACATACACTTCTGCGAACGCTGTGGGTTGGTCACGAGAAGCGCTGCGGTTGTCCACCACAGTGTTGCAAGCACGGCTTAGTAACCGTGCGGTGTTCGTTTTCCATTTTCCCATTGCCCATTGTGACTGTTTTGTCCTGCACCCAAACACTGTTGCCCATACACCGGTATGTCCAGTGCTCATCTACACACAACATGGCTGTGTCAATCCTGACCGCAGGCGTCCCTTCTCTGCCCACCCCAGCTCCAGCCCATGCGAGTATCTCGAGGCGAACAGGTTGTGACGACCTGGGACGGTGCGCACACCCCGGCCCGCTGCATCGCCTGCCAGGGTTTGTGTCGTCTGAACCATTTCCTTTGGTAGCATTTAAAGTTCGAAGGCACCGGAACACGCGGCCAGAGGGTGCGTGCTCCAAGGTCTCCTGTGAGCGTGGCCGTGGGGCATTCGTGGTACAGTGGATAGCGATGCTTGTCACCGCGGCAGCCCGTTGCGTGCGTGGCAGGGGTCCCAATTGTGTCTGCGGTCTGTGAGCGGGGAGGATGTGGTCCTCCGGCGCGACCGGCTCGTCCTTGAGGTCCACCGGCCAGTGTGTTAGTCCCCTCCACAGGGACTAATGCTCCTCCTACTTTCTGCCGCAGCTCTATGAGGTGCAAGTCGCCGACGCAGACAGCGGCGGCGCGGTGGCAGTCCCCAATCCGCGGTGGTCAAAGAGCACCTGAACGGCACCTGCTCTGCGCATGCACACGCAGGCGGACCGGGGAGGAGGTGGGACAGTTCCTCGGGCACCCAACCACAGACGGCAGTGCCCAGGCGCGACGCTCCTGGAAGGTGATGGTTGATGTCCCCGAATGATAAGGAATGTAAGGAGTCCGACGCGGTGAAGTTGTATCCAAGTGAATGGGCGCGCTGCAAGAGGCGGCAACGTCTGACTTGGCACTGATGCCAAGACGTCGTCTCTGGGCCTGGGCGCAGCCAAGCGAGATAAGAGCTTGAACCAGGTCGGGAGTGGTGGGGGGGGATCGGTGGCGGGGCGCATTTTACGTTGCCGTTGACTGCTCAGAGTCTCACCTTGCCTCCCAACGCGGCATAGTTGTGGCTTTGTGGAATCCCGGCGTAGGTAGCCATCCCTAGCTGCTACTCTTGATAGTTCGAGATCAAGATGCTGCGCCTATCAAAGACCCTCGTGCCTTCAGACACATGGATTATGCCTTGTGAGCAGGCAGCCTGCGTGGGTCCCCTGAAAATCAACAGGATTCAAGGAGGTCAACAGTACATTTGCTTGCAGCGTTGCACCCGCTGTCACAACCCTTCAGTCCATTGTGCTCTTGATTGTAGCGTGGTGGTGACTGCACCATCCACCTTCAAGGCGCCGGATTCTGCCGAGGGATCATCTTTTGTTTTGGAAGACAAAAAGGTACTGGACTTCAAGCCCAGACCAAAGCTGCGCTGCCTGTACTTCCTGGCTTGTGGATCAGTGCCTGAGGGAATCCTGCACTCAAGCAGCTCAGAAGATCTCTGGGCTTTGAATTATGCAGACATCCATCCTGAAATGACTTGCAGTGTGCACGCCCCAGTTTTTGCCCCA